ATCAACGGTTCATTTCGTGATGGCTTGAGAATCTACTCTTCAATGACTATCAACACAGGCTTTGGCTTGGAAGATCATGTGGCACCAAAATGTTGCTGCCTAAAAATGGAAGGACCCTCTCTGTTGAGTATAAAACACCCACTCACCTCGGTTAACACAACTTTTCAAGGGCCTGTGAAAGTGTAAATCATGATATCTGGTGTTAGAAACTTCGGCCTATAGCGATGCTGGGGTGGGAAAAGTGAAGACATTTGGCTTTCAGTCATAATATTCATCAGCATTATGGATCTTTGTCGCGGAATGGTATTACCATGCATGAATCATACGGTCCTGGAACCATCAATGAAGTACAATATATAAACAACTCGTGCATACATCCCTTCATAAACTTTTCACCATTATCTCAAGCAAAAGGTACAAACTGTTACAACGGGTGTACTAGCTTCAAGCTTTATTTTTCTCTAGGTGATACCCGTATTTTCTAGATACAAACCTGGTTTTTGTTAATGCAAAGACAATACTTCCACTTGTCCAACTTGTAAATTTTCTGCATACTTATTCTGCTGGGATGTTCCATCATATGAACATGCAGCCCTTGTATCTTCTGGTGACAACAGATGGGGATTGAGATTACCTTCCGTGAAGATACATGTAGTTTATATATAAACTTATTCATAGCTGCAAAAATGGTGTGTCTGTATGTTCAGGAATAAATATTATTATTATTATAGGGCTTCCAAGCCTGGTTGGTGATTATCTTCAAAGTAGGCTGCAATCAGTGAGGGTTGGCTCCTCCTTATCTAGTTGGTTCCCGATTCTGGATGGTGCCTCAGGCCTCTATTCGTGACCCACTACCGTTCCCTGTTCGATCGGTGACTTGCCAGGGTCCCTCAGTTCTCATTCACTATAACAGACTGGTGGTCTGGAGATTTAGAGTTCTTATTCACTGCACGAAATAAATATCTGTCGCTCAGCCATCGAAAAAGATTTGGGGGTTGGCGTAAGTGGCACACTTGGAGCTTCGGTCAGTTGTCGCCATGCAGACAATGAGGTCTATGCAATTGTGGGGTTCCTTTCGCGAGGGGTCTAACTCCAGCCCTTTCACCACGGTGAATGGACTTTGTTTTCGTTATCACTCTGAAGAAAACTCGTTCGTGCTGTCATTACGCATCAAGTAGGACATTGCCATCCCAAAAAAGATTCAGAAAGGGGCCACCAAAGGGGCGACTGGGTCGCGTCACAAGCCTTACTCGGATAGCTTGGTTGCTCCTAGGCTGTAACCGGTCCAGAACCGGAAAATCAGACAGGATATGACAATTGTGTATCACATTGTCTTTGCCTATGGGACCCCAGTGTCCTCAAGGTGGTGAAATCGATTGTAACTTGAGAATCCATATAGGTGAGACCTCTTTCTGAGTATTATTTTATGAATTCGATAGCTTTTAATTTGGAACATTGAGAATTCTGTGCACCTGGTAGTTTCCCCTCTTTGTATAACCTGTATCATCGTAGTAGGGCAGCCCGCGTATTTTGAACGGTCAACCCTCCTGACTCCAAACTCCATTCAAATCCACTTAGTTTTATAACTGAAAGTAGTCTGTTCTCAGGATTCTTCGCAAACGTCTCTACATCGAATTGTGCTATTTTCTACGCACTAAGACTCCCATGAGCTCACTTCTTCATGCCGAAACTTACTTAACATTCGCAGGCTTCCGAATACGCCCCCGCATAAACCCATGTGCACGACGTTTACTTATTCATTGTCTCTTAGATTCTAGCTTAGACACGTCGACTGACATGCTCCGCCGTTCCGACAAGTAGCTTCAGTGCCATACTTTGTGGTTATCACGAACTAAGAGTCACTGACTACAACTTCACCACGGTTTATCATTGATAAGACAGGGTTTTTGTGCAACAACTCCTAAATCTACGCCTAAGTTCTTTTGCTTTAATTGTTCTGTTCGTATCTTGTTACTCATTGACTTAAGTACACCATGTATTGTTCCATGACCGCGTTTTCTTCTGGTAGACAGATTCACAACACAACCGCCGCATAGTGATTATTTCGACAGTTCACCTCAAGTCGTGGCTCCAGTTGGGATTATATCTAGAAATGTTGGCATTACGTGCTGTTTATGTTGAGACATACAGATTTTCCGAAATTGATATCATATGAAGCGCCGATATTGAAGACGTATTTAATATTTTTAATGATGAAACCCTAAATACCGTGGGCCATGAAATGACAACGGTTTCCGGATCGCACCACATCGTTAGCTTAATCTGTTCGAATGAATTTGTTTTGAACGGTACAGACCTAAACAATCACTACAGGTTGCTTGACACTGTGATACTGATACCAAGCTTTGTCATTGGTCCATGCCAGGATTTAAATCCAGTTTTACGTGCCCCCTGTAAATGGCAGAAACCTGTTGAATATCAGCATTTTTTCAGCTTTATGTTCGGCATTATTCACTATCACCGATTTGATGATGCCTGTAAGCCGGCTTCTCTCATATTCAATTCTTGATTTGAGAATAAAATATTTATTTATTGATTTGGTATTCTATGCACTTTTACTGTTTGTGAGGCTCATTAACTGAGGTGTTGGGGCTTGGCCACACTTGCCTGGTTAAAGCTCCTGCTGAGTGACAGTACCCGTGCTACTATTCACTATCGCTGTGTAGCGAAAGGGTTATTATCTAGTATCTGTGACCAGGAGCATGGGAACCATTGCGTACTCTAGCGGGCTATGTATGCCGTGACAACCCATTCTTTTTAAATTTTCTCAGCCTCCCTGGGGACAACAGCATTCAAATATAGCCTGCAAAAAGGCATATGTTCGTATAACTTATCATTCGAGACATACACATCATCATTACTACCATGTCTGCAGTTTGTCGGAAATGCTTTCGTGGCACACCAAGTCTCCCAACCATCACACGGAGGCACTGACTTGACTGACATGAGTGTTGAAAATCGGGGTGTCGCTCGCGTTTTATGCTGAGTGGAGTGGAGTGCAGTACGGTGCAGTGCAGTAGATCTCCACACTGATTTCAGATTATAAAGGGTCCGTCTTGCTGTCTTTCCAATCCTGGCTGCTTCGACGTCTTCACCTGTGCCTGTGCCGACGCCTGTGGTTGAAACGAGGCCACCATGCCTAGGCGGTAGGTGAGAGAGACAACTTCCTCCTTTCGGTTTCCCCCGTTGATGGTGATTGGTGCCTGTTGTTGTTGCTGTTGTCGGCTGGGCATCTTCATTGCCTTTGTCTTCTCTACGTTCACCTGAAGGAAGTCCCGTCTTCCTTCGCTGCTCCGCCTCTTCTGCCAGGTTGTTAGTTTTCGCCTGTAGATCTCCGAGATTGTGAGACAAGACGTTAGACGTGGATCATCATCGGCGAAATCCAAACCTTCTAGTGTCTTTCCATCGGTCCAGCCAAAGCGTGGCCATCTTCTTGCACCTCAGTTTTCTGCAAGATGCAGTCCAGTCCAGTCGATCACAATCGGGAAGATGATCGGTGATGATAGTGGGCAACCTTGTCTTGCTCCCGTTGCCCATCTACACTTCTCATTCACCACTGAGCTTTCCGTTGTGAATCATTCGGTATATGGCATTATACAGCACATAGCTGTTGAACGAGGAGTTTGACAAGGTAGCCTTTATTCCAATCCGCAGGTACCCTTCCTTCCTTCCTTCCTTCCAGGCCTCCCATATTAGCGGTGCGAGCATGTTCACCAATGCCTCAGTGTCTTTTTTCGGTGCTTCTGGGGGGACTCGGTCCGGTCCTGCTGCTTTCCCGAATTTCAGTAGCTTTGTAGCTCCCAGGACTTTACCTCTGCCTTTATCAAAGGGTTTGTGTTCCACGATAGTTCTGTGGCTGGGGTGCTGGTGGTATTTCTGGACGAGTTACAGATGGCGATGGTGGTCGATCCAAAAGTTTTCTCAAGTGGTCACCCATCGTCTCCTCTGTTTTTCCCCTTTGCTAACTGGGTCTCCTTCATTCTCTCATTGGTTTCATATGTGTTGACCTTTTCCCTCCTAGGTGATAACCCGTCTATCTGATATGATGTCGTCAGGCGTCCGTCTTTTCCACCTACGGCTTGTTCTGCTTCACTTGCAAGTGTGTCTTACAAGCGTCTTTTGTCTTTGTGCACACTCCTCTTCACTTCTTTGTCCAGTGTTTTATATTTTGTGTTCAGTTCTTCTTTGCACTGTTCATTTCTTCACTGCTTCGTCTTTCGCTTCACCATCCTCCTCTCCTCTCCTCTATCAGCTTCCGTGTGTCCATCAAGATCCATTTCTTGCCTTGTTTCTTCTTCCTTCCTAGCACAGTTGTGCGGGTTTCCTTCCACATCTCTTTCACACAGTCTCAGTGTTCTTCCAAGCAGGTTTCCTCATGGATGTTACTCAATATGTCCTATTTTTTCCTGATAGCTGACCGACGTGAAGATGTGCTTTGTAGTTTCACCCTTTAGTCCAGTTTCAGTTCTGGGTGTTGAACTTGAACTTTCGCCCATCTCCAACTTCTGTGATGACTTTCGGCTTGACTTTGAGTTTAGGTTCCTTGAAGTAGACAGTGAGTGATGTTAACTCATATCTGCCACTCTTCGTGATCTGATCTTTTTCCAGTATGCTATTCCTCCACTTTCTTCACATTGAGATGAAGTCGATGTGAATTTTGGTCTGTCCTGGTGTCTGGTGAAATCAAGACAATGTCGCCTTGCCGATATCTTTGTGTTTGTACACACTACCTCCAACCGCCAAACCGTTGAATGTGCAGAAATCTAGGAACAGATCTTCAGTCTCGTTCACTTTACGAGCGCTTTTCTACCCATGGTCAGTTCTCTCACTGCGTTGACATGGAGGAATATTGAAACTCTGTAGAAACAACAAAAGCAAGATCGAAATGAATTTAGTAAGGGAAGAAGGGAGTGCCCTCACGAAATTTACAAAACTCTAAACGTTTGTTTGCATTAAGCAAAACAGCATCTTTTGTGTAACCCAGAGTCTGTTACATTTTCAAACAGTAACCCAGAATATCGTTTACATTGTTGACATATAAATTGCCGTATGCACAAATAATATCTCCATCAAATACAATATATATGAAGATTTTGTTTAATTTAACTTGAAAGAACTTTTTGATTTGCTGTCTGCAGACATGTTATGTCGTACAAAGCAGAAACGGAAACGAATAACACGTTCAAGTGATAAATCGGGAATATGCATACTTATGATCTTATACATTCTGCAAGTACGTCTTGAAAAAATTTTCTGCCTGATGTTTGTCCACTGTATGCTAAAAATTTTTGATGAACTTGAAAAATTATTGGCAAATCCTTGTGCATTTCAGTCACAAATAAGTAATTTATAACAGTTAAAGAGTATACTGATTCTTTTATCTAGGTAATGATCAAATTTTAAAGAGCGTATATACGGACGAATGATACATAATGGCCATGATAGGGTGGCAGATATCACAGATGCCATACTAGATTTTTTCTGTTTGATTTATAACACACAGTGATCTAGTATTATTTACCTGATAACGTTTCAAGCAAGTCATACTAGATCACTGTGTTATAAATCAAATAAACAAATCTAATATAGAGTTAAATTCTACCACAGTGCTCAAGTTTTAAACCTGTATCATAGATACCAATTCAACAGATTTCTAGTTCACCATTTTTACATCAAGGATTTGATTATACATACACTGTGTCCTTAGCTCTGAAAAATATCCGCGCAATTTAGTTTCTTCACTTGCCCTCTAATTTACTAATAAATCTGTCGGTTAAATTTAACTGGTGCTCTATTAATCGGAATGAAAATGCATGACGATTCTAAGTTTACGGAAACGATATTTCGCTAGGTTTTTGCTTATTTTTTTCCCAATAGCTTTCTGTTATTTCCCCATGCTAATAAGAATAGTATCTTAACATACTAAAGGATACACTCTTCAGGCCAGGAATAATCTCAGACGATAAGCTATCTAGAGTTTCAACTACTTCGTAAATTAAAAGTTTTATGCTTTTAGAAGGGAGAAGCAAGACTACTTAACCTCTGGCACAGTCATTTACCTACCTTGGCCAACACATCAGGTCTACTTAAGAGGCTTGGATGTCTACATCGTGAAATATGTATTTATTATTCTTGCTTTTCTAGATTGGTGAAATAAACTTCCTAAGAGTAATGAAACCAGTGTGCAATAAAATAGATTAAAAAAATCATGAAAACAGGTGTCTTATAAGCAGAAGTTCTCACAGTATGGAATTCTAGCGGAGATAACCAAAGAGTGGTGGAAAATTCCAGCTGAACAGTGATTGAAGTGATCAATTACTGGCTTATTATCTAGATGAAAGAGGTACGATGATACTGATGTCAACACTATTTTAATTTAAATGAAAAAAATTTCAAGGCGTATTTCGCCCCAAATATTTGCAAGAGTACAAGTCATTATGAAAAGTACTTTGAATCATGGCGATAGAAAGAACAAGGCATCATACATGCTAATGTAGTTAGAAAAATTATTTTTACCTGTAGACTTTAACATCTTAACATGGCACACACCTATAGGGGGCTTCACACTCTTACAGAATGCAAATATAAGCAGAATTTATACACAAAATAAGCACTTGCTGATCATTGCCCATAACATGCTGTCAGCTATTTATTGATACCATGTGTGAATGAAGAGATAACCACATTCAAGCATAGACCGTCAAACTCAAAACACATTTTTATGGTTGTTCATTAAATTGAATTTCATAAAAATTCCGAAAGTCTGTTTTCATAAGGAACCTGCAGATGTTTATGTAGATTCTTTTATTGTGGGGTCCGTTGGGCTAACTAATAAAGATGAGATAGTCTTGGAATTTGAAGTGTAGAAACAGTACCCAGTTCCTGAACTTATAAAGTATGGTTAGAGTAAGCTTTACTGCCCGAATCAAAACCTTTTTTCTGGGTTTTTCAGCAGATAAAATTCACTTATATAAGAGGAATTCTCTGTGTTTCTTTTTTGGCATTCAGAGGTTGTCTTTGAGCTGTAAACTAATCTGGCACAGAAAAACAGTTGTCCTCAGCAAAACAAAACATAAAATTGTGTACAAACACTTGTGATGTCTTTTGTAAACTGGGGTGAATGAAGACATCAGTCGTTTGAGGTCTAACCGGAGAAGGCCTAACTGAACGCATTGCGTTTGTAAGCCTAGTCACGTAAGATGCCCTGTCGGAAACATGTTTGAAAGTTGAAGGGGAAACAAACTCACCTGGTAGGCGAAGAGTGGTCCCATAGACGAGTTCTGCAGGAGTGCATCCAGCATCAACTTTCAACGCGTTACGAATACCTAGTAGGACTAGAGGCAGAGCCTCGGTCCACTGAGGTATGTTTGTAGCTGAAAGGGAAGCTTTCAGCTGTCGATGGAAACGCTCTACCATGCCATTTGCTTGTGGATGGTAGGCTGTCGTTCGGAACCGAGTGCAACCTAAAAGTGCCGTTAGAGCGTGAAATAGTCCGCACTCAAATTGGCGCCCACGGTCGGTTGTGACGTAGGATGGACATCCGAAGTTCGCGATCCATCTTTCGACGAAAACACGAGCAACTGTTTCGGCAGTAATATCCTTAATGGGTACTGCTTCCGGCCATCGTGTGAAACGATCAACACAAGTGAAAAGGTAGGTACATCCATTAGATTCTGGTAGGGGTCCTACAATATCTATATGGACGTGGTCGAAACGCATGTCTGGGGCTAGAAATGAGCCTAAAGGGCTTTTCGTGTGTCGCGTGACTTTACACTTTTGACAAGCTAAGCACGACTGGGCCCACTCCTTAACGTCTTTGTTCATCCCAGGCCAGCAGAAACGTTGTGCGATAAGCCTAATGGTGGCTCGTACACCTGGATGAGAGAGTTTGTGCAACGTATTGAAGACGTTGCGTCGACAACTCTTCGGAACTATTGGGCGTGGTTGACTAGCAGAGACATCGCACAAAATTGCATCCTTGTCTGATCCAACAGGACAAAGTCGCAGTTTGAGAGTTGTGGACGACAACTCATGATGCAGCTCAAGGTCTTCCTTTTGACGCCGAGCTAGTTCAACGAGATCAATACCCTCGATATAGTTTATCGAAGCTATTCGAGATAGTGCGTCGGCTGCGGAGTTGTTTGCTCCAGAAATGTGGCGGATGTCTGACGTGAACTGGGAAATGTAATCCAGCTGTCGCGACTCACGAGGGGAGTATTTGTCAGACGCCGAGCTGAGGGAAAACGTTAACGGTTTGTGGTCTGTGAAAATAATGAAATCACGACCTTCCACAGAATGTCGAAAATGGCGTACAGAACAGTACATGGCTAGGAGTTCCCTACCAAATGTACTGTATCTTGTTTCCGCGTCTTGCAGCCGCCTCGAGAAAAAGGCTAACGGTTGCCACTGGTTGTCAGTCAACTGTTGCAAAACTGCTCCAATTGCTGAATCAGATGCATCAACAGCAATACTCAAGGAGCATTGGGGTCATGATGCATAAGCATGGTTGCGTTCGAAATGGCTTCCTTGACTTTAGAGAAAGCAAGTCTAGCCGCGTTGTCCAGAGACACGAACTTCGCAGTTCCTCGAAGTAGATCTGTGAGTGGTCTCATGACAGAGGCACAGTTAGGGATAAACCTTCGGTAATAACTTACCAGGCCATTGAAAGTGCGGAGATGTTTCACAGTGGTCGGCTCTGGATAGTTTGTGATAGCCGCCACTTTATCTCTCAATGGGCGTATACCTTTGTTGTCAATGGTATGCCCAAGGAAGCTGAGTGATTCAACTCCTATTTCACACTTCTGTAAGTTAACTGTGATGCCATGTTTTTTGAGTCTTTCGAATGCGAGGTCCAAATGTTTAAGGTGAGTTTCCTTATCTGGACTCGCAATTAGACAGTCATCGATGTAGACATGAACAAAATTCAGACCACGGAAGACATCGTCCATAAAGCGTTGGAATGTTTGTGCTGCATTCCGAAGACCAAATGGCATGCGCAGGAATTCAAACAGGCCAAAAGGAGTAATAATGGCTGTTTTCGCGATATCTTCTGCTGCCATAGGTATCTGGTTGTACGCTTTGACCAAGTCGATTTTTGAGAAAATGTTCATTCCGCATAAGGTTGCGGTCAAGTCGTAAACGTGAGGTATCGGGTAGCAGTCCGGAGTTGTTTTGGCGTTAAGCCTTCGGTAATCACCGGTTGGACGCCAGTCGTTGCTATCCTTTTTGGGAACCATGTGCAATGGCGATGCCCAAGGACTGTTTGACGGTCTGATAATGCCCAGTTCGAGCATGTGGTCGAATTCATTTTTCGCCTTTTTAGCTTATCGGGGGCTAGACGGCGTGCTTTGGATGCCACAGGTGGACCTGTGGTTGTGACGTGATGCATAACATTGCTGGTTATGCACGGAAGAGTGTGCTTCGGTTGCTGCAACTCTGGATATTTCTCCAAAACTGCTTGGTAGGACGCGTCGCCTGATTGTTTGGTTCTAACGATGGCTAAACTCGGACCTACATAGGTGGTGCCGCCAATAGATAACTTTGTGTTGTTATCTATCAGTCGTCGACGGCGAGCATCTACGAGTAGATCGTAATGGTTTGCAAATCTATGCCAATGATGGGCATAGAGACGTCAGCCAGGAGGAAAATCCAGTGGATAGGTTTACGTAAACCTAAGTTGAGGTAGGCATACTGTCTCCCGAATGTCGCGATTGCCTTGCCGTTGGCTGCTTGAAGATTGAAGGATGGGTCGTGATGACGCTCCTTTGTCGTTGCGGGAAGAACGCTAACTTCTGCGCCGGTGTCGACGAGGTAGCGAACTTTCGTTTTAATATCGGTGACGTAGAGCAAACGGCTGTTTCCGCCGGCTACGGTTGCCGTGAGCACGTGCCGGCGTGACCGTTTCCCGAGTTTGTGTCCTTGTTAAAACTGCATGGTTTTCGACATTTTCTGGCTTCGTCTCCGTAAGTATTATGAAACCAGTACCATTCAGGGTTTTCCACCCTGTTAGGTTTCGTTTTGGGACAACCAAGCGAGTTGCTGCGATGCACTAAGACGCGTTTCTGTGGAGTTCTACGTGAACTAAGACTTCGAGATCGTAGCAACTGTTTAACAGAGTTGCACAGCTTGGTCACCTCTGAATCCTGGCGCTCTGGTTTGTCGCAGACAGAATATACGTTGGAGACGTGCCTGCTAGAAATCTCCAGTATTTTATCTGCCGAGGCTGCCAGGTCA